CAAAGGTACAGGTGCTGCTGCAGATCCAGGTTTCCAGCGCGTCCTTTGACCAATTTACCGAATGGGTATAATGTTCTGACGGTTGAGGGAGCCTTCGTATCATGCACGACAGGGTAGGGTCCGGGGAAAATCGCATGACCATCGGGCTTCGTCTTCGCATTCCCAGCGCGAGTAAACGGACGCTTGACTATCATACTTCTGACTGATCCTATTCTCACTCATATCACTATAATATCGTTTCCGCAAAGCGAACCAATCACTCGATACAACAATATTATTAGATTTTAAAGGAGATGACACCGGTTGGGATTGCAACTCCGGAGGTGAGCATTTTGTTCACTACTTGTCAATCGGGTGGGGGCTTGCTAATTGCAAGTTTTTGAGTAGTACGGAATCTTCGTCCAGGAGGAGCAACTCCCGGCGATGGAAGCTTGTCCAGATGCAGCCCGGAGGTCTGTATATTCCCGTTCGAAAGCCTCCGCGAAGAAGCTTTCGCAGGCGAAGTCTGGAGTGGATGTCTTTGATACTCTGATGATTCCGGGAATGGCCTGGACGCAATATCTGCACGGCTTGATATCTAGGCTGTGACCATCTCGTAAACATCTCCTGTCCTGGCCCCCAGTCTCCCGATCATCGTCCAACCCGAGGTAATCAAAAAAAGCACTCGAAGCCGGCAAACGTGTACTGAGCGAGAAGTCCGTCGCAAAAGACCTAGCACAAGCGCGCGAGTTGATACCCTACAAAAAGTCCTATCCGGGCCTAAACTGGTGCGCGGCGGAGAACTTCCGCTCGCGGGTCTGCTGGTTCATTACCCCGGGCTGGAAATACTACAAAACTCCCCGGCACAAGACGCCAGAATACAAAAATGGCTTCCTCCTCGACGGCTGCGTGCACCACGCCGCGGGCATACGCATCTTATTATCCAACGAAAAGATTGTGAATGCCACTCCCTTCACCGCCTCAAATTTTGAGCACTTGCCACTCGTGGGTACCGTCTCCACTGCCGTCAAGACGGATAAAGGCATTGTGGGGGGCTTCGAGATGAGCCTGGGAACGACCTTCGAAGGGTGGGAGTTTGCTGTTGCATGCGAGGATGGGAGCGAGGTTGCTGTTCCCAGGAGGGAGGCTGGGGGAGTGCTCGAGGATGAGGTTGTCAAAAAGGTTCCCAATGATAAGAACAGAATTGGGCAAGGTGTTGCGGTGTTCGTGAAGGCCATCCTTGCGGGGGTCCCGGATGACAAGCAAACGCCGGAACTTGCCGTAGAGGATTTAGAGATAGTGGGTTATTCTTCGTCCTATAATACTTCCTCCCGTGTATGCAAGGTGGATGTGTGTTGATAGTGCCATGTTATGTAATAGATTAGGAAGATGCTACGGTCCGGAGGGAATGATGGGACGGTCATGGTGATCGATGGTGGATTGACGGGATATATAACTCGGGGTAATTGTGAATCACCATGGCATTGTGACAAGCGATACTGTTCGCAGCATATCAATGGTACTCATGTCATTAGACTTTCGAGCTACCGTATTACCAACGAGGAAGAAGTTGAAGTACTCGTACGGTGGGGACCCTGAACCCATCATATGGCACGAGGAACAACCACACAAGAACCGTGATACACGAGTGACCGCTAATGAGCGTAGGCTAGACTGTACTGTACGAGTATGATACTGCACGTACCTTTATCTGGGGGCTCAATAGTCAAAGAGCTTCCCGCAATGCATCGAATTCACGAAGGAGCATATCCAGAACGCCAGTGTTACGGTGACGAGCATTCCCCCGACCTATTAAACCTCCTCCCAGGGAATTAGAACAGTCCTCTTCCAATCCTTTCCTAACAGCTCCTATTTCACCTTTTGGGGGTTTTTTTCTCCCTATCCTTTTTTTCCTTTTTATAGCTGAGACCATTAACACAACGTCTCCGCTCCCCGTCCAACAGAAACCTGGCGTGCAAATCTCCATAGGTATCATACTGGCACCCAATAAGCACAGTCCAGCGGGTAAAACATGTCCATCATAGGGCGAGCATCGTCCATCGGCCCGCCACTATTGTAACTCCCCGGAAGTCCCCGAAACCCGGATAATTCCGAGGACAGCGGACCGTGTACCTGTTATGAGGGAAAAAAAAAATCATTAAATTTTATCATACTTTCAAAAAATACCCGTCATACATGCTCGTACTGTACACAAACCTCAGCTTCAATTCCCCTGCCATCTCTTCCCCATCCCTTTTTTCTCACCAAAACATTTGTTCTGAACAGACAACTTTTTTTGTAGGGGGACGGCTAAGTCGAGATAAGAATAATAATAATAAGAGGATCAAGGATTGCCCAATTGATCTATCGAGTTGCACCAACCCGGACCATAATGAACGCTTCCTTGCGAAGTGTTGCTCGAGGATTCCGGTTACATGTGAGGGGCTCTGGGGTAAGAGCAGGAGGGGGAAGAGGACCACAAGCCGCGGTTATTGCACCTGCCCGAGGGGAAGCTAGCGGCCTCCTTATTGTTTGCGGCAACACTACCTCCTACATTAACATCACGAGTCCACGCTTTCCTAAACAGTTTTCGACGAGCTCTTACACTATGGTTTGTTTCTCCGTTTCTTCCATTCTAGCTTGCTGGTGTTTGCCTGTGATCGATGAGTGAGGGAGTGAGGGAGTGAGCTGAGCTGATTATTCCATCTATTTGTTTTGCTTGGACGTTTGGCTCGCAGGCAGATAATTTCAGAATAGAGAGAGATGCCTTTGGCGAGATCAAGGTTGAAGCAGACAAGTACTGGGGAGCGCAGACTGAACGGTTTGTTTTATCCCATCCCTTCGCATGGTTGCTTCTATCGACAAAGGAGGCTGCCAAAAAGCTAATAGAGACGATGGTGATGATGATCCCTCCAGTTCCCTCACGAATTTTAAGATCAACCAACCCTTCGACCGCATGCCCCCGGCCATCATCAAAGCTTTCGGCATCCTTAAGCGTGCAGCGGCAACAGTGAACATGAGCTATGGCCTACCCGAGGACATTGGCAAGGCGATCCAACAAGCGGCAGACGAAGTCATTTCCCTGAAACTCCTTCCGCACTTCCCACTCGTGATCTGGCAAACCGGCAGTGGTACCCAGTCCAATATGAACGCGAATGAGGTCATTAGCAATAGAGCTATCGAGATCCTTGGGGGCGAGATAGGCAGTAAGAAACCGGTCCATCCGAACGATCATGTCAACATGAGCGCTTCTTCGAATGATACCTTCCCCACAGTGATGCACATAGCGGCCGTCATGGAGATCGAAGAGAAGCTGTTGCCAAGCTTGAAAGCTTTGTTGGCGACCTTCCAGGAAAAGGTCAAGGCTTTTGAGAAGATTATTAAGATCGGGAGGACGCATCTTCAGGATGCTACCCCTTTGACATTGGGGCAGGAGTTCTCGGGATATGCTACTCAGTTGTCATATGGAATTGAGAGGATTGAAGCTACTCTTTCTAGACTTAAGCTTTTGGCACAGGGAGGAACTGCTGTTGGCACTGGGCTCAATACCAAGAATGGATTCGACGTCGCGGTCGCCGCAGAAGTGTCAAAGTTGACTGGAACTGTGTTTAGGACTGCGCCCAATAAGTTCGAAGCATTGGCAGCCCACGACGCCATTGTCGAGGCTAGTGGAGCGCTTAATACCCTCGCATGCTCCTTGATGAAAATCGCCAACGACATTAGGTATTTGGGATCTGGTCCCCGCTGCGGTCTTGGTGAGCTAAGCCTTCCAGAGAATGAACCTGGTAGCTCCATCATGCCCGGGAAGGTTAACCCAACCCAATGCGAGGCCATCACCATGGTTTGCGCGCAAGTGATGGGTACCTTCTCCTCCCCCTTTCTCCTTCCGTCTATCGACTAACTCCTTTCAGGCAACAACACCGCCATAACTGTGGCCGGTTCACAAGGCCAGTTTGAACTCAACGTCTTCAAACCCGTCCTTATCAAGAACCTCCTACATTCCATAACCCTCTTAGCCGACGGCATGACTAGTTTCAAAGATAACTGCGTCGTTGGGATCCAGGCGAACGAGAACAAGATTGAGAAGCTCTTGCACGAGAGCTTGATGCTGGTCACCTGCCTGAATTCAAAGATTGGATACGACATGGCGAGTAAAGTTGCCAAGAACGCGCACAAGAAGGGGATTACACTGAAGCAGTCGGCGTTGGAATTGGAGGCTTTGACTAGTGATGAAGTGCGCATTTTCTCCCCTTTCACGCGGATGGGTGGTTTGGATGGATGAGAAGGTGCTGATGGGGTTCTAGTTTGATCGACTTGTTCGTCCGGAGCTCATGATCGCCCCTAAATAACCAAATAGACAAATGGGCAGTTGGGTAGCTACCCGGACGTGGTGAAGGAATGGGAAAGTGTTCTCTCGCTCCAGTACAATTGTATAGGCGGGAATTCGGGTTTCCGATTTTTGAACCGCCCTATCTGGGGGCAAGCTTGTGGNTAGCGAAAAATACAGCACTACGAAAAATTCAGCGAGCGGTGCCCCAAGTATTTAAAAAAAAAGGGAAAAAATGTAGAGCAAAATCCCCTCTCTCGAATAAAAAAATGAAGGTTTTCTATAAATTTCACAAGTGTTTCAGTTATCATATCATACCTGACGGCATAGCGAAAAATACAGCACTACGAAAAATTCAGCGAGCGGTGCCCCAAGTATTTAACAAGGTGGCTTCAAAGAATAACAATCTGCAGTTTCTCCAAAACATTTTACACACCCACCACATTTTTCGCTATGCCGTCAGGTACGTTGAATGGTCCTTTTCCTTAGATTGCAAAATTGTTGATCGACTTGCACTACATTCGTAAGGATGGGCAGCAGCGGCGGATAGAGCAGGATAGATAGGATGGGACAGAGTAAGTTGGACAAAACACTGTACCATCCCGCAAGGGGGAAGGGAGAAGGGAAAAACATGTTGGCAGCCGGATAGAACGGGTACCGGTACTCGAGTTAAAAGTAGGGGGCCGAAAAATAATGGACGTACTGGGAATCGAACCCAGGACCATCTCAAGTTTTCATAAACCCACAAACAAGATCCATTGCAAATGAGATATTATACCCCCAAACCATACGCCCTTGATTGTACTTTCCAATCAAACACATACATTTCGACGTGTAGCACTCCCTCTCCTCTGCCGCGAACTGCGGGTACGGTACCGTAAAAACTCTTGAAATCCGTCATCTCAGGCCGGTGTGTGGCGTGCCATGGCAGGTGAGTACGCAATATCTTGGCTGGCCATTTAGGGAAATGATAAGCAGCAAGGTGACACCTTGTCTTATAATTTCGACTTCACAGGTATCAATATACTGGTCCGGTGGCTGGGGGACAAAGATGAATTTCAGGTATCTACAAATTCTACATTGAGGTTTTCGTCTTCAGCCACAGAAATGTCAGCCTCTGGAGGCGCAGTCCCAATATCCTCCCTCCAATTTCCAACTTCCAGCCCAGAAAAGCCCTTAATATCTAACTCAGAGTCAGCACTTCCATCCACAGGAAGTGATAATCCAACTTTGCGAAAAACCCTGCATATGATGTCCTTTTTTTCCTCATGAAACCTGTAGAAAACCTCATCCACACAGGAGGTTGTAAGTATCCGGCGTTGGCGTACACTCCTCTTCTGAACGCTTTTGATAGTTTCTGCTTGGAAAATTGCCATATCAGTTTGCTCGTGGATAAGATCTTTGAAGGGCTTGTTGATAGCGACATCTAGAGGCTGTACCAGACTTGTGCAGCCACCAGGGATAAGGGAGGGCATAATATAGTGTAATCACATTTTTTGTAGAACTGCTGGTATAACGTGTTCGGGCCAGGCCCTAGTCACGTAGCGGTACGATAGGAGCAGATGGCTTCGTGGTCAACACGAAGCGAGCGCTGCTTGCTAAAGGAGGCTTCAAACGGAGTGTAATGGGAGATCAAAGAAGTAACCGTTCAAGCAAGTATATTTTAAGAATACTGTCTGTCGAAGTCTGCTGTTTTCATTTCGGAAATCAGCGGTCTTTAAATACAGCATATCGCTTATCTCCAGTATGAGCGATATTGTAAAACAAGGTGTGTATCAACTGATAGCACACGAAACAATTCACGTATCAAACGGTACCGTGAACTCAAACATAAAACAATGTGTGTATCAACCGATAGCACACGAAACAATACAAGTATCAAACGATACTGTGAAACCAAACATAAAACAATATATGTATCAACCGATAGCACACGAAACAATACAAGTATCAAACCATACTGTGAAACCAAACATAAAACAACCTAGTACCTGTACCGGTTACAGCTGGGGTCTTATGAGACCCCATTAGATCAATTGCAAACAAGGTAGAGCGACTACCAAGTACTGGAACTAGATAGTTCTCAATATAGCAGAGAAATAGCTTGTCGTTCATGTATGCTTTCTCATTAAATTCAACGAGCACTCCGGAATCATATTTTGACCGCTCATCTCCTAGCTGTTGACCCTTTCCCCGAAAAATAACCATTGGGGGAACCCAAGCAACCCCATCTGCAAGAACATACAAGACCATCGATGCCTGTCTTTTATCTCACCCACTCTGAGAGGACTTAGCCCAGATAGTTTTCTTCCCTCTCATCTCGTATGTTTTACCATCAAGGTATTCGAAAGGGATCAGAGTCTCATCCAAATTGCAAATATTGGAGAGCTCAAAGCGGCAGACTGGATGGCGGAGAACAACATCGAGAAAAGGGTTTGGAGCAGGCTGGGAGTTCCGTCAGTTGAATCGCAACCAGTTAACTACTAGTGCTTGGTATTCTGCTGGTATCTTTTGTACTTTTTTTGTAATACATCTCAAGCTAATTTTGTGTCGCCCAAGGAAGCCAGCAAACCACCCATTGCGAAACCGAAAAAGCTAAGAAACTAACCTCTGGGTATAGCTCATAGAATCGAAACATCGCCTGTACTCGAAACCACCCCCTCCATATGATTCTCCTCTCTTTCCTCCATACTCTAAAGTCTTCGAAGAGCTTTTCTTCTAACTCTGGCCACCAACATAGGCTTACCCCCTCCTCCAATGGGACCTGAGCAGTTGAGTTAATCCCAATCCTCTCAATAGCTTTTATTTTTTTTACCCACTCCCCAATTGTTGACTGGGGAATACCATACAGTTCTGACACTTCTTGCTGTGTTGGCTTTCGGTAGTCGTTTTGCTTTACAAGCAGGACTCGGTGGTGTTCAAGGAAGGTCAACGCTCGAATCTTTTGGCGCTGGCTATAGGTACGCTTGGGGCAAAGTACTAACTTTAGGTCTCGCTTGTGGAGGATATGCTGGCTAATTGTTTTCGCTTTAGGTCCTCATCGTGTTTTTTTTTTTGATTTTGTTGGAGCCATATTGGTATGGATACTTTGCTTCGCTCAGAATGAGTTAAAAAAACAGATAGATATTGACTTCGCAATCTAGAAACCAGATACTACCTATACTTCTCCTGTCCTTCTCTTGTTTTATATACAGCTTAATATTTCTCTCTAACTTACTAGTAAAAGGCAACTACCGGACAGATTCACTGGTGGAGTTTAGGTAAGACACTGTGAGTCTAGTACCTCTTTCCCTGGCATGAGAAATGGTGACGATAGTCTTCTCTCCGCACTCTATAGAGTCATAAAGAGTCACTTCAGAACTTATGATAGTTCTGTAATCATTGGAATGCTTTGGGATACGAGCCTTTTCATCTTAAACGCGGGATGAATGACTGTTTTTTATATCATCTGTGCGCAAAAATCTAATTTCGGGATCATCGCTTATCACTGGCTCTTGTCAATCACCCTCGGCTAACCACAAATGGCAGTAGCGCGATCGCCTTAGATGCCGGATTTCAAGAGTTTTTACGGTAATACGGTAACAGCGGATATATACCGAATAGGTTCCTGTCAGTGTCCGCCGCCACCACCAACCACTCACTGTAGCTACTACCTGTATAGTATCGACCAGCATTCCGGTGGTAACGGTTTAATCATCTAACCGATAGCCGCAGGAATGACATCCACGGGTTTGGTAACTTACCGTACTTACTTTCTCCAGCTCTTTCTTTATAGTACAGTAGCCAGCGCGTGTTCGCCGTATCATACGGTAGATGTTGGTCACCGCAGTGGTAGCGGTGACGGATTCTCCGTACTCGGTTACCATCATACCCAGCTTAGAAGTGACCAACAGGGTCGTGATGTGTACCATATTTCGTGTGATGATTATCGTGGATTTTCGTTGCTATCATACGTGGTGGGCCCCCCCCGTAAATTACTGGCCCTCTCCTCTCCTCCCCCCTTCCCCCCTCCCTGGCCCCCTAGGCGGATGCGTGCGATAACCTGTGATGCCGGTGTGTGCATGGGGGGTTGTATGATATGTGGGGTATCATATAACTTGTGTGGTAGGGGTGGGTTTTGGTTTTGTGGGAGAGAGATGAGGGTGAGGATTCTGTTGTGCTGGGTGTGCTGTGATTGTATCGTAGATTTGCTGGTGTATGGTATTTCGTTCATTTTTTTTTTCTTCCCCTCCCGTGACATCTGTTTCGTTTGGATGGTGGGTGGGTGGATCTAGGGGGAAATATCGTGGAAGTGATGGGGTGCGATGCGGGAACGGTTGGAAATCAACTTGGTTGGGCGGCGTGTCCTCATCACGAAAATTTAATTTTAATGAAGGTCGGTTACAGTACTCTATCAAACGACGCGCTGTCGTAGGTGACCAACGTGATATCATACTGGTCTACTCTACCCCACCGACAGGCTATTATTAGGAATTTTGCACAAATTTGAGACGAATTGCTTATGTTAGAATCGGGATGCTGTCGATTGCGGGTGTTTTTGATATGCTGTTGCATTATTAAAACCGCGACTGGGACGAAACAAATGAAAACGAAACTACGATGAGCGAAAGCAACCGGCATGAAAGAGTCCCATTTCCGGCCCAGGACCCGGGAGCACGGAGGGAAGTTTGTAATCATTCAGTTCGCTCTCTACTCACTATCGCTCCACTGAACTAACCAACTAACTAAACTACAAACACAGGTGTGCTCGAGCATGTATGAATCGCGATAAAGGAATCTTCCTATTCCTCCACAGGTACTCAATCCCATCTAGGTGTGATACATCTCCCTTTCCTCTCGTACTCCTGTGGAAAAAAGACAGCTTACAAAGACCGACTTCATACAGATTCCTACTGTTTGTTGCCTCCGCTCACTCGGTTCGGTCCCCTTGACTCATCGGCTCATAACAGGTGCATGACCTGCTTCCGGCGGACACATTACTTCGTATGTAGTTCTGCCTGATAGCCTTTCCACGCGGTCAGCCTAGGTGAATATTAAATTCCCCGCAGTTGTTTCCTAAAATATTTGTAATTACGAAACCTACGATACGGTTAGTGTGGTGAAGGAATAACAAGGAGAATGACTTACCAAAATTGCCCATAAAATGTCTATCAACCCTGCCTCAAACCTCTCTCGCTACAGGTGAGGAGTCATACAGACCCATTCCCATACCTTGCTCTTGACTTCCTTTGCTAGCAAACATATAGGCAGATACTGGTTGCTCGGCTTCTACCTCTCCCACAAGCACCTTCTCTCGGGTTTCTTTGTTGGTCGCCTTGAATCTGACCATCTTTCTACCGCTGACCATACCGGCATGACGAAACTTGGTCTTAATATCGTCATTCAGTAGTGCCGTACTGATCAAGTCACAAAAAAAGATCTAACCGTAGCAATGTTGTTCTCCATAGCCCAAGTTTCAACTGGAGATCTGATTGCCACAGATGAGAAGATTCCATGAGCGATAGTTCTGGCAAAGTTAGCATCGCAAGGGAAGGTTCCCCAAACGTGGATTGGATTGTAGTCACCTAATACATGGCCATATCACTCGTTGCTAGCCGGGGCTCTGGTGGGAAGTTCAGTTTTCGAGTAAGAGGAATAGCGCTCTCGAAGTTGACAGGCTGCTTGACACTGGTGCCGTGGGGTTGCAGATAGTCAACCACCGGGTTTCTATGAACCTGACCGGTAATGCGCCGGAGAGATGCAACCAGTACAACCTCCTCCGTGGGTAACTCGACAGGCACATGTCCGAGAGTTTC